AAAGCCCAAGAAAGCACTTACTAGAGTTCAGTTCTTCTATAAAACTTTCATTTTTAAATGGCGTAGGAATGTTTTGGATGGTGTGCATGACCATTGAGGATGAGAAAACCTGTTATAAGCTTTAAGTTTGGTTCTTAACATCCGAGCTATCATTAGCAGACAGTAGATTAAAAGTACCTGACTGCTCAATTGCTCCTTATTAAGCCAAAACTGTTTTTCAGGAACTTGTAACACTGGATTCAATAATCTATAAACCATATGGCTCAATTACTAACCTCCAGGGGGAAAAAAATGCCCTTGAAATTCTTTAGCCCTTGTGGATGATAGCAGGATGTATCTGGATATCCATTTTATGGGACCGTCTACCTAGCTATTAAATTGCATCCTAAATTATTATTTTTCTCAGAGCTTTATTTTCAGAAATGCTCGATTTAACCACATACTCAAATTTAATATATCTTCATCATCGATTTTATCACATTGCCCACTTATCCATCTTATACAATTGCTGGTAACAAAGGAGCTGCCCGAGGGGAGAAAAAGGAGCAGTTTGGGGATGGAGTGGGGCGGGGGTGGTGGTGTTCAGTGTGGGGGAGGAAGGAGATGGAGTAGGAGCAGAGAGAATGAAGACCAAGTGGCGAATGACTATTTTGTAACCATCAGAAAGGCTAAGGCAGTGAGGCAAGACAACAGAAGAGCAGATATATGAGATAAATAATAAATAAATCCAGAGTGGAAAATAAAAAGTCCTCCATAAAGATGCTGAGTTACAGCATGTCCCCTTTCTCAGAACATAACCTTTTATTTTGGCCTGTAGAATAAACAGGCAGTAAATGCCCATAGGAACTTTCACTTTTGGGGATATGTCGCAGAGAAGCTTTTCAGATTACATGGATGGAGAACAGATAAATGGCGTGACATAAAAATGATGAACTTTTACAATCAGTTTATTTTGCTCTTGCAGTATGTGCTGTGGCTACAGAATACAGCCTAATTGCACCACAAAAGTCAGGTCCAAATATACGGGATAGCCTAAACTGGCAAATATTTGGAGAATCTTTTCACTGCCCACCAGTATACCATACGTGGACTTTGATACGTTAAAAAGGAGGAAAAAAAATTCATTTATCTGATGGACAGAGACAAGAAAGACTAAAATTAAAAGCTATGCTGTAATTTGTCTATTTGGTCGGGAATGGGAAGAGTCATTAAAAAACATACACACATTTATTGAGCACCTACTATATGCCAGATTCTTTTCCAAAGTGCTTGGGACAGATCAGGGAACAAAACAAAGATCTCTATCTTTGTGGTGCTTACATGATGGTAGAAGATGAGAAGGAGACAGACAAACAAGAAACATAGTAATGAAGTAAATGAAGCAGAGTGACAGGAGGTGATACATGCCACTTGGTAAAGAGAAAAAACAAACTGCTACTGGAGAGTGTATTGGGAGTTTGGGGCTGGGCGTGATGGCTCGTTACAGTACTCAACAGAGTGGTCGTAGTAGACCTCTTTGAGAAGGTGGCATTTCAGAAAGACTTCAAAGAGGTAAGGGGTGAGCCACGCAGATACCTGGGGGAAGAACTTGCCAGACAGAGCCTCACAGTCTGTGCAAAGGCCATGACACAGGACCTGCCTAGCATGGTCAAGGAATAGCAGACCCGGGGCACCTGGGTGGCTCAGTCGGTTAAGGTCTGCCTTTGGCTCAGGTCATGAGCTCATGATTGAGCCCCACATCAGGCTCCCTGCTCTGCAGGGAGTTTGCTTCTCCCTCTCCCTTTGCCCCTCCCCACTGCTCATGCTTTCTCTGTCTCCCTAATAAATGAATAAAATATTAAAAAAAATTTAAAAAAGGAAAAGCAGAGCCCAGTTGAGTTGCAGACAAGTTAGTGAGGGGGAAGGGATAAGGGGGGGGTGGATCACACAGGATCTTGTCCCCCATTTCTCTTACCCTTTCTTCCTAAGTCACATACATAGTGGTTTCTGGACAAGCAGACTCTGTGCTATTGACCATGAAGAGCAAGCTGGGGCTGTGTTGAGGTAAGGGAAGGGTCTAAGTGCAAAATGTAAAGAGACACTCCAGCTTGGGTGCTAACTCTGCATGTCCATGACATGGAGGGCAAACGCCTCCTCAAATTTTGCAAGTGAGGTGCCGCATTAAGCCTCATCCCAGTCCTAGCCTTGATGCAAAGAGCTCCTACTCTTTGTCCACAAACCAGGTTGGCATTTTTACTATCCACAGCCATCCTAGCCTCCCCTCTCCCCACCACCTACCCACATCTTTGCAAGAATAATCCATCCTGCAAATGCACATTAGCAAGAGGCATGGCTGGGCAAGCCAACCATTGGGGAGAGGAGTTTCCTCCTCTCTTTGCCCCCCTACCCCCAGCACTGTCAGGCAGAGAATGGAAGCAGTATTCTCGGCTAGATTTAGTCTTCTAGTATCTATATCTGTCCCCAGATGTGTGGATGTGGTGGAGAAGTTATGTTTCCCTAGCCCAGGAAGAGAAGTCCAATCAGCCCATGACTCTGAGACCAGAGATGTGACTGAGGAACCGCTTGGCAGACAAGGGCACAGGAAGAGTCCCTCTAAACTGACTTGGTGGCTGAGATCAAGAAGCCGATGCTCTACATAAAAGAAATACGACTTAGAATGTACTTGGTATTTATCTCTCCAGCCAACGCCCTCCTTCGTCCTACCCCAGAACTCAAAGAACTTTGAGGATTATTAATTTTCAAGAATATATAATTGTGGGGTTCTCTGGTGGCTCAGTAGGTTAAATGGTTGCCTTTGGCTCAGGTCATGATCTCCAGGTCCTGAGATCGAGCCCTGTGTCAGGCTTCCTGCTCAGTAGGGAGTCTGCTTCTATCTCTCTGTCTCTTTCTCTCTCCTTCTGCTTGTTCTCTCTCTCTCTCAAATAGATAAATAAAATCTTAAAAAAAAAAAAAAAGAATACATAATTGCTCCCCATGGACTCCAAGGGGACCATGAGCAGGGGGTGGGAGGGCCCTCCTGGTACTGGGTCAATTCACAAGGTCATTAAAGCAGTCATGGCTCCATCAGAATGTGGTGTCTCCCTTCCCAGAATTATCTACATACATCAACAGCCAGATGAGCCCAAATTGCACACATTCCACATCAGGAGTGCCCTACCTTTTCTTAAAGAACCCAGCGAGTTCAGGGGTTGATATTTTAGAGAGCTGACAAAGGACAATGCCAAGAGCTGGGAGAATGGGGGACTATGGAAATAAAACAAAAACCTATTGATTTTTCCATTAAAGAAAACCAAAAGAACTTGAGTGTTCCCTTTCAGGAGCAGATGTAAATGTAAAGATTTGATTGGGATGAAGATCACCTTCATATTAAACTTTATTGTAAAATTTAGTGAAGGGTGCTATGTGTCTCTAATTACTGGGCTGTAGCCTAAGTTTAAGAAATCATGAAAAGTCAAATTCCCTAAACACAACATAGTGAACAGATTTTAAGGTGCTAATGGTATCACTTCTGAACGCATTTTTATTACTGTCAAATATAGTACCTTTGATCAGGAAATCCATTCATCTCAAGTGAAATCTGGTTGTCCCCTGACAATCCTGCTTCTCTTTTGCTGCTCTCTCAAGTGATGCTGTTTATTTTCTCACATCCCAGGTGCCTTGGGGCCAAACACTGGGAAGTGGGGTTTTTTTTGCTCCCAATGTTACTTTTGAGTGCCTAGTTCTCATGAGGCATTCCAACCAGCTTTTACCACTTCCTCTCTTGTGCCATTTACTGAGCTTCCCCTCATTCAGCAAAGACTTAGGCAAGTATCTCACTTCTTCATCCAAAGATTTGTCACCAATCTTGGGGACATTAATGTATAATTCCTCCAACATCCTCTCAGCACTCTGACCACCCCATTTTCAATGGCTTTGTTCCCCCCCCCCCCCCCCCCCCCTCCCTCTCCCCCCCCCTCGACTATTTTCTTGGTTGCTTAGGGCAAGAGTTAGTGACCCAGAGCCAGTTCTGTCCTGAGACCCAGCTAACACAGGTAATGGGGGTCATGCCTCGGGATTTGTGCTCTAGAGGTTGTCCTCTGGCCCTTCTTTTCTAGTTCACTTCCAAAGAGGTGATAAGCCTGAGTCAGTAAAAAAGCACATTTCCTCTATAGCCCATATATCCTCTTCCCAGATTGTTCTCTGGGTCCCTAGAGTCCCAGAATTCCCCCACCCAAATTATTCCAAGCTCCTGGGGATGGCTCTTTTCAATGGGATGTGAACATAACTTGGATATTCGGGCTTCTGTGTCCATATGCATGAGTGTTAGGCCCTCTATGATGTAGGATGGAGCCTTGTGTGGAAAGAGAAGGGAGATGACCAAACATACATTCATTCTGGGCTAATAAGGATGGCTGAAGTTCCTTAAAATTACAGCTCTCATCTTAACCTCCTAGATAGGATTTATTAAGGTAACCAATCACAGGATTAGTTCTGCTTATTGGTTCTACCCAATCCATAGCTGAACCTTACTTTCTTGAACCCTCACCCAAATCACCTAATATAAGCCCAAATCCTTTAAGTCCTCTCTAAGGCACTTCTCCTGAGACACCACAATTTCCCATGACATGATGCTAATTACCCACTAATACGCTACTAAATTTTAGCTTCTAAAACTGCAAAGATGATTAGTAGCCTATGGACTTAATTATAACCATTGGTACTTTCTACCTTAGGAAGCTTTACCCAAAAGGGTTCAGGTCTCCCTAGTTTCTTCTTCTTCTTCTTCTTCTTTTTTTAATATTTTATTTATTCATTTGACAGACAGAGATCACAAGTAGGCAGAGAGGTAGGCAGAGAGAGAGGAAAGGAAGCAGTCTCCCCACTGAGCAGAGAGCCTGATGCAGGGCTCAATTCCAGGACTCTGGGATCATGACCTGAGTTGAAGGCAGAGGCTTTAACCCACTGAGCCACCCAGGTGCCCCTCTCTAGTTTCTTCTATCAGCAATATTTATTTACTCTACCTTGAAGGATATTTCGGTTGTCATGGTGAACCCATGGGTGATGACTGGTTCCTCTTCAGCAGTCCGTCCCTTCCAGCAGTCCAACTCCACACAGCGACAACCAGACAGAAGCACTTGGCGATACATCTCGACAGAGGAGTTTCCAGCCAACTGGCCAGCTGTAAAAGCACCAACAAAATGATACTTAGAATCCTACAAAGCAAGGAAGACATGGAGGGCTTCCTAGAAAATCTTTCTAACATTGGGAAAACAAAGAGCTGAAGAGCTTGTGTAGTTGTTCTCAACCTTCTGGCTCAACATACCAGACGTTAGTGGCATAATCCCACAGGTAATTGTGGCTCCCTAGCAGCAGTTTCAGGGAAGAGAGAATAGAAGGAAAAGAACATTGTAACAGTAACAAAAGCTCATGTTTCCTAACTGCTTACCATGTGCCAATTATAGTTCTGACTTTACATGTATTACTACATTTAATCTTCATAAAAACCTCTCTTGTATAACTACCTTTATTTTTTAAATATTTATTTTCAGAGAATGAAAATGGCAGAGAGCAGTTCGTGGGCCCAAGTTTCCAAAGCTGGTAAGTGGAAGATCTAAGATTAAAACTCAAAACTCAGTCTTTTAATCTGGATCTTTAAGGTTATTCTGTTTTAAATCAACACTTATGCCATGTTTGTCCAAGGAACAAATGCTTAGAAGAGTTGAACATTTTCTTTTCAAAAGTGGAATACATTTTTAAGAATAAACTTAAATGTAACGAAAAAACTGTAAAACATATTCTTTAATAATTATAAAGCAGTGCCAAAAAAATTAAAGGAGACCTAAATAAGTGGAAAGACAACCCATGTTCATGGAACATAAGACTTAACATTGCTAAGATGTACTGCTGCCCAAATTTATTTACAAGTTAAATTCCTATAGAACTCCTAGATGGACTTTTTACATAAATTAACAAGCTGATCCTAAAATTCCTACGGAAATGTAAAGGACTCCAAGGGCCAAACAACCTTGAAAAATAAGAATAAAGTTGGAGGATGTACATTTCCCAATATCAAAACTTAACTACAAAACTACAAAACAGTGTGTTACTGGCATAAGGACATATAAATCAAAGGAAGGTATAGAAATAAACCTTCACATTTATAGCCAATTGATTTACAACAAAGGTGCCAAGACAATTCATTGCAGAACATATTATTTTCAACAAATAGTGCAAGGACCACTCAATAGCCACATGCAAAATAATGAAGTTGGATCCCCATCTCACATCATAAACAAAAAAGAAATGTTAACTCAAAATTGATTAAGCTCCTAAATATTGTTGGGTCCGTAATCAAAGGAGCGAGACTGATAGAAAGCGAAGGTCAAGCAAAGCTTTATTTTGAGCCAAGCATTGAGAATCAAACCCACCATTTGGGGCCATGCCTCTTACAGAGAGGGCAGCCTCTCTCTGCCTTACAGACTAGCTTTTAAGGGCAAAGGCCATGTGATTGGGCCTGGCCACACACAGGTGGCCAATGAGATTGTAACATACAGAGAAAGCTGCACAGTCATGCTAGGTCACGCATGGGTGGCCAATTGAATTACAATTCACCCTATAGCAGATATTTGAACTAGCCTATCACCTTGGTCAGAATTGGCACCCAAAGGGCACCCAAAGGGCAGGGCCCATACTCTTTGGTAGCTAGGGAGACAGTATGCGCCCCCACTGATTGGATGTCTCCACCTGACCGGACTCATCCCTGCATTTGGGCTGTTATCTCCACCTGGCCTGACCCACCCTTGCATTTGGGCTTTGTTACCTGGGACTGGTTTCCGGGATTTGTTTTTAAGGAAGTTCCCTGGGGGGAGGGGGGCAAAGAAAGTTTAAATTTTACTGTATAGACAACAAAATCACTGCTTAACCAGATGGAATTGCTCTGGCTATATAGGCCCTTACAATATAAGACATAAAACTATAAAACTCTTAGAAGAAAACATAGGGATAAATATTGGTGACCTGAATTAGACAGTGGTTTTGTACATATGACACCAAAAGCAAGCAACAGAGGGAAAAAAAATTGATATACTTTCTCAAAATTTAAAACCTTTGTAAACAGAACTGAAATCCTCCAGTAAAGTGATAAGAATTGTAATAATCAAGGCACTTGTAAAGTGTGAAGAAAAGAATGGAAGCCAAACAATTTGTATTTCATTTAAGTAGTTATTGGAAGGTACTAATTTCTTGATAAGTTAGTTTTTTAAAGATTAATAATAAATAACTTTCAAGACAAGCCCACCATCAACACACAAATGTAAGTTTTTGGTTTTCCACATTAAACAGTTTCTCTGATGTCCACTCTATAAGACTCCATCATTTTTTAAATAGTTAAAAAATGACAAACTGAAGAAAACTGTCAAAATGACTGGAATCGACAAGCTCTGCCTGGTGGAGACATATAGGACAAAGAAAATGGGATTAAGCCTGTTGGCTTAATTTTAATTTTATATGCATGTCAAAACACCCAAACATCAGCATAACTAAAGGATGACATTCTTGAGTTCTATGGAGCCCTAGTAAATGCATGAAAGGCTGATTAAGTAGGTTTTCATAATCACTTTTCTCTGCTGAAAAAATAAGGCATTTTAAACACACAAATGTGTTTGCAAAAGAAGAAATGCTGACAAAGTAATCTAGAAAGTTCCTGATGCTAGATAATCAATTTGCCATTTATAATTGCCTCAAAGTTTGTTGTAATAAAGGTCTCTGCTGCAGTAGAAAAGGGAAAGGGGACAGTGAGCGTGAGGAGAAAAGGTTGTCATTTGCATGATTTTTTAAGCTTAAGGGAAGGATTAAGGGAGTGAAGGATTCAAAGAATATTCGGTTAACTCATTAAAAATATTAGTTCCTGCAGAAAATTGTACGTTATTAAAGAGCAGAGCAGATTTTCTTGTGTACTATCTAGAATATTGACTATCCAATGGATTACTGACTATCCAATACCATTATGATTTCTGAGTCTATTTCATTAATGGGTTGTTGAGTGTTTCTAACTTCAGTAGGGAAGTTGCCATGGGTTTATAAGCTAGATAAGGTTTAATGGTAGATTGAAGTTGATAAATACCTAATTCACACTAGAGTTTTCAGTCAAAAAAGATTCAAAAAATTTCTAGAAACATTTCTTTGGATTTGCATGCAATTTTTTTTTAATCATTCAAGAATAAGAGGAATTTGATGTACTTTTTGAATGTTGATCAATTAATGTTTTTAAAGACATGGTAAGTCATGGGTTGGGGTTGTGAGATGGAAAGGAATATGAAGGGGAAAAAAAAAACAACAACTAAAGAATGGAACATGAGAGAGAGAGAGAGAGAGAGAGTCTATGTTGTGTTTATTGTCCAACACCTAAGCCCCAAAGAAGCCTTCCAAAATCAACTGTTGTTCAATCTTAAAGTGAATAGTCTTTATTAGAAATGGAAGCTCCCCAAAAAAGCATATTTTAAGAAAACTCACATTTATCCATAACTGTCCTATTCCTTGGCATACATGTTAGGTTTCCTCTGTGTTTTCCTTCATTTACGGAGATTTTTTTCCAAATATGTATTCATATTCTCCAATTTTTCGTCCTTTTCTGCCTAAATTTTTCTCGCCTAAGATTCCTAACTCTTCTTGATTATATCCCACCCACCCATTATATTTCCATTTTATTAAATCCAATATATATAGTTTCAGGGCCAGGGAATTGTCTGGGGTTGGGATTAATGATATGTCATGAGTCCCTCAACCCTTGTTATTTCTGAAACTAGTATCTGACATCACTGCTGCCTGGCTGTGAATACCCTCTGGAGAACATTCCACTTCCATGATTGAACTTGGGAGCCAAAGCTCCATCTCAGACTAATTCATAATACTGCCCCAAGTCATAGCTCTGCAACTTCTCACTTGACTGCATTCACTTTGGTGAGCTGGCTACATTCAATGTGCTTTGTCTAAGATTATCCAAGGCATCCATGGATGGAAGACACCAGAAAACTGAAAATAACAACCCCTCTATTTATACAGGCTTCTGAGGTATTGTCTATATTTATAGTTATCATTATGTATTGTCTTCTTTTCAACCTCCATGCAAAAAGTTTCCAGAATGTGACACATTTGTTAATTTTGTGGTCTTCTTCAATAAACAGTATCTCCTTCAATAAATGGAGATAGGAACTATTTCTCCTTTTGCTTTCAATGCTGTGTCAGCCTTTCAGGTTACCTCATCCCACAGTTACAGTTAAGGAAACTGCCCAAAATATATAGGATGTGTTATTGATCTTGACCATTTCTAGGGGCATGAGTTTGATCTGATGTCTCTCCCATAGTAACTGCCAGCCCAGGGAGACCATGAAACTGTCTTCAACATGGATTGAGTGGCCATAAGGTGGCTACCCATATAGGTAGGTAGGCAAGTACACATAATGGAGATATTCTCATGTACCAGGGAATTTGAATTCTCACCCCAACCTTGCACTTCTGGTTTCCCTTTCTTTCTCTTTCTCCTCACCAGTAGAATTCTATTTAGATTCTATTTAATTAAGGTTATGATAAGGTTTAGGATCCCGTCCTCAGTCCTAGGGTAAATCTTAATTCTTCCTGATAATGCACTGGAGTTCTACATTAGTGATTAATGTAGGGATTGCTATGTGGTGTAGCTTTGGGCTGTATCTAATAGAGCATAAAGGAAAGGCTACAGGGTAGGGGGGGCACCTCACTTGTACAAAGGGCCACAAGACAGGGACTTGCAGCCATAAGGGGAGCAAAGAGACAGAAAGCATCTGGGTCTCTGATGACACAGTGAATCTTGGATTTAATCAACACTCAACCACTCTGCTTCTGGACTTCTTGTTGAGATTGATAATAAATCCCTTAACATTTAAGTCACTAAGTAACAATATCCTATTACTTACAGCCAAAAATACTCTGGCTGTCTCAGTTTATCTTCATTTCACAAATGAAGAAACTAAGGCTTAGAAGAGTTAATTTTCTCAAAGGAAAATCTGAATGTCGTCTATTTGCTAAATGTCATCTCCTTCCGTTCTACCACTTAACTTTCATAGGTTTGTGTGTATTTTACACCAAAACTAAGTTATAAAAGGTTACATAAGTTAAGGGTTAAAAGAGTAGGAGAGATGGGAAAGCAGAGTGACGCTCAGTCTGGATTGGTAGTAGATACATGACAAGGGTAAAACTATGCCTTGAATTATTCCTAGAACTTTTCTGCAGTCCAGAGAATATATGTGAGAAGAGGAGTTGAATAATTATTTGATATATTCAGTCAGATAATTTAATTCATCAAAGGATAACAAAAACCTCAAATCTATTTTGTCTTTCTAAGCTGAATGAGGATGTTAATTATTCAGAGATACACTACTTTGCTTTGTCCATGAGTCTGGAGCCATTATCTCCCAAAGGGATTGGATTATGGCAAGATTTATGAAGAGCTGAAAAAGTATAGGTTGAAATGAGTGCATACTGTTCTATCCTTAGAGAATTTTGTTTTGAGTCATAAGGGTGGATTCCTCAAAGAAAAACAATAATTTAAAACATAATCACTACTTGATGGACTGCCAAGACTATCCAAAACCCTAGAAAAATGACCATCGTAATTAAAAATCATCTCATTCTGTACATACATTTCTCTCAATGATCTTATTTATTTTTTCTTTTGGGCATCTTGATGGTCAACAAAGGGGCAATAATGAGTAAAGAAATAGGCATAATAATAATAACACACTGCTAAATTGATTGGTTTTCACACTGTACATTTAATTTTTATAGTTCCTTTGAATGCTTGGAAGACAACATTCCAAATATCAAAATCCTCCTTATTTGAATCTAGACTAGCATTTCTCAGGAATACTAGCTCATAATGTGCTATAGGAAAATAAGTAGGGTGGTAACAATGAGGGGAGAGGGTTGATCATAACCTTAACATTTGTGAATCTCTAAGCTTTTTCCTACATTTAGAACATACTGCAATAGATGCCAACTTTGTTGGTACCTAGCATTTTAAAAACTCATTTGAGTAGGAAACTCCTTTTTCCATCACATACCCTCTATACAAAATAACATTTCTATAGAAAAAGTTTCTTCTTGTTCTGGAAATGCTTATAAAATATAATAAAATCTCATTTTCTAGGTATTGATTTTAACACTTAATTGGATTCTATTGGGTTACACATTGGTTATAACTTTATTTTATAATATTCTTAATTGGCTTTGGGAAGCTTGGACTTCTATATCATCAATGTTATATTCAAAAGCCTCTGGGAGAGTTCTACATTAGGTTTCTCTATAATTAAAGCAAGGATACTAATAATATCATATGAGGTAAAACCAAATTTTACTAATAAGTCAAAGAGAATTTCAAACAAAACATCCAAAGCCCATATTAGAATTTATACATACATTTTTTTTTTTTTGTTAACTATATGGAATCTTCTTTTTAAATCCCTGTAGGAAAATGAAAAAATTTGACTGGTATTGGGATAAGGTGACACTGTGAAAATGTGGATTTATATAATGCAAACCTCAGTAAAATAATATATGGTTCAGAAAAGTGAGCAAGTTAAAAAAATAAAGAAAGATCAGGATATGGTTTCATATAGATAACATAGTTTTAAACCTGAATATTTGAAAATTTGTGATTCTAATACTACAAGAAATTGAATAGTGGGAGAGAGAATTGGTTTACTTGGTCAGAAATCATGTGTATCAGGTGATAGTGATATGAAACTTTTATTTTGAAATTGGAGATAGTTATTTGAGCTCTTTCTTCATCAAAAAAGAGAGTAGACCCTTCTCTTTCCTAGTAACTGAAAGTTCCAACTACGGATAACTATTAGCTATTAATATGCTAACACCCTAAAACCAAGCCAACACAATGAAGCCAAATTCTCAAACACATCTGTGCTTACCAAGTTATTCAGAGGAAGGGTGAATGAGTGACTCTGGAAGAAATTCACTGGATGAAAAATCCTTAATGAAATGCAGTTAAAAACAACAAAAAGGAATTGTAGAGAAAAACTGAACAGTATTCTGTAGTTTTATCATTCCTACTGAGACCAAATAATTTTCTTGGAGCTATTATTGTGTTGTTAGTAAAGCAAATGAATTAATTATGTATAATTTCATAGGTATCAAGATTGATAAAGAAAGCACAGTTATAGAATCGGAATTTAAATAAATTAGAAGATAGGAATGAAAATAGTTTTGTTAACTGGCACAGTTCAGACACAAATGTATCTTTTCTTGCTTTGTTCACTGAAATGGTCCAGAAATAATGTTCCATAGTGTGGGGTTCAAATTGCTGTTACCCATATGATTTTTTTTTTTTTTTCACTGAAGGAAGACAAAGTTCATTTGGGGAAAAGTCTGATTCTGTGGTGGTGCAGAAAGGAACAAGATGAGCCTGGAAGATCTTTATGTGCCAGAAAGCAAGGACATTTTCGAAGATCAATGGGTCACATCAAGAGACTATAGAAGCCATCGACCAAAACTGAGACAATTTGAGTACCGAAAAAAGAACACTGCCTGTGGTTGGTGAACCTACATAAGATCTGAAAACCATAAATCCATAAAGATAAGCAGAGAGACTGTATTCTGAGAGAAGGTAAAACTAGTAGATGGTGTATCCAGTTAGTCTTATTATTCAATCATTTTGCTACCATTGCTTCATTTATTATAAGACAAATAATATAAATACTCATGAATGTAAATACATCAGTTGGAAAGACTTAAAATGGACTCTTAGTAAAATTACTGCATGTCGTGACTTTCAGGCAGGTGAAACCATGTACGATGTCCAAAATTGAACTGAAAATATACATCTGTATTTTTAAGACTCTTGTGGTCCTAAGTATATGACAAATGCAAGATGCCGTCATCTGCCAGTCTTCACAGTTATATTGTTTAGGAGGCTATCAACTGAAAGATCTTAACTGAGGTTCTGTCAATCTCCTCAAACTTGGATGAGAAACAAGATTATGCCTTTAATTTAAACCTCTATGTAAAATGTAGTAATCTCTTCAGTTATAAATGCAGGTCACAAATCACAGCAGTACAAGCAGAACTGTGAGCCATGAGGAGAAATCATAGATATTTTCATATTATGTTCCATTGTTGCAAATAGTCACAATATTATTTATACTAGTATTTAAATTGTGCTTATAGAGATATGTCATTTTACCACACATCTTTTTTAATATTTGATAAAAATATTTTGTTGGAAATTATCTCCTCTTTCATTCTATATATTTTATTTTATGCATTTATCACTATACTTAGAAGGGTTCATTAACATTCACCAGAATGTTAAATTCATCAATGGTACCAAGTAAGATTAAGATTCCCCTGAGAAGATAAAAAATTAAAAATAGTTTGACACTCCTCCCAATGAGACCTATGGTCTATGTTTTCTGCCTTTGAGTCCAGGTAGGTTTGTGACTGTTTTGACAAATAAAGAAGTGACCACACAGAACTTCAGAGGTGAAGTATAACAAGGCAATTAAGCTTCCTCCTTGTTCTTTGGGACATCTGTTCTTGCAGCCATGTCTACCTATGCTGGGGCTGCCATGCTGTGAGGAAGCCCAAGCTACATGGTGAGGCTCTTACAGGCAAAAGATGAGTAGTCCTAACTGAGCTCAAGTTCCAGACATGTTGGAGAAGCATCCAGATGATTCCAGCACCCAATGTGTTTGCATTACTCCCAGGCACTTATTTGGCAGTTGAAGCCCAAGACACCAGGAAAGAGAGACAAGCCATCTCCTCTCATGCCCTCTTTGAATTCCTAACATACAGAAAATGGAGCAAAATAATATGGTGAGTGTTTTATGCCACTGAATTTTTCAGTGACTTATTATGCAACAAGAAATGACAAGAATAGAGGTTAGGATGAACCAAATATGAATCTAGTTAGTTTCTGGCATGCATCTCTCCCAGTAGATAATGCCAATTGAAACAAAACAGGCTGCCTGAGAGCCTCCTAGTTTTTATGGAGAACATACGACTGCATTTTGACTGACCAGAACTCAGACTATGTGGTTCTGTCATGATGCTCTCAGATTATACAAAAGCATCCTGAGATGGCTCACTCTTGCTGTCTGGAGGCTACTTTGCTCTCTCTGTCGCAGGCTCATTTTTATTCTAAGCTATTTTTTCACCGAGTGTGGGACACCAGGCCAATGCCCCATTTGATACCAATACAACATACATTTGTACTGGGATCAACGGATCGCCTTAAGGAATTTAGATGAAAGAACTGCTTATGTCTCATGTAACTGGGACTGTGAAATTCTCTTCGACACCCCTGAAAATACAATGCCTGGGTCTCCCTTGTCATTATATTCTTCTTAGCTTTGCCGATCTATCCTGCAACACAAACCACATACCCCTATTTACAACGAAGTATAGGTTGTCATTCAGGGTTAAATCTGTTTACATCTAAAGCTCCATTCTACCTTGGGCAAAATTAGCTATTTGCCTTGAAGTCATACATAAGTCTTGCATGCTTTGGAAATTTCCTGTACATGAAAACAGTCCAGAGTATTGCTAAAGGCTTGAAGTCCACTGAAGAGGCAGTTCAGTTACACAAAAATTCCATTGGCCCAAAGATATCAGATGTGATATGTTTTAGAAGACTTAAAAACTGGGGAAGAGATACTTTGCGAAGAAGTGATATGGCGTCTTACAGCCGGAAACTCTGCTCCCAGAGCTCAGTTCTCAGAGGTGTTTTACAGGAAATGAAAGAATACATGCCTTCCCTTCTGAACAACAGAAAGTAGGGGTTGGTGAAATTTGGGGAGACTGCCTAAAGTCATTGTCAGAGAACTATGAAATTTGTACCTGTGAGGTAGGTGTTGTGTGAGGAATTGATGAAATAGTGAGAGAGGGGCTGAGACATATCTTCATTCAAATCCAGTTTCTCAGGTGAAACGACTCCATTTTCTTCTCCACTCAGATAGCGCATAAAGCCATCCACTGATATCTGTCCTGGAGGAAATAAAGAGTTAAGAAGAATGTGAATGAGTCCTTTCTATGGAGTGCTGGTATCATGTCGCTTGAACTTCTTTTTTTTCTTTTTCCTGAAAACTCTGGTACATCCAAGGTAGAAGACAATAGCCACAATTGCATTTTAACATGGATAACAGAAGTCGAGGATTACATTATTTCACAATTTTCTACCAATGCCACAGAGAATGGAGAAAAATACATTTACATGAACCTCCCTGACTTTCAGAGGATTTAAATACCTAAATACCAATCTCTTGTTTTTAAATTAAATGGTTATCAACTTTATGGATGGACATCAAAATGTTATTAGCGCTTATCTCTGGGTAATACAATTAGGAGTGAATTTCCAAATTTTCTATTATTGTATATATGTTACTTTGATAATCAAAAAAGTTATTCATGAGTGGTTTTATTATTTAAAATAAAGCAGAAGTATTTTCAATTAATGATCTTTTTCTCTGAAACAGAAACTATAGATGATTACAAATGAGTCTGTCCTAGGAATAAAAAATCGAATGCTCAGAAACAAAGAGGTTTTTAAATTTCTTGTGTAGAATGACTTTACTTCAAATGGAAGAGCCATGACGCACACTTCAGTTTACTTGGACCCTATTTAGAATTTTTGATTTGTTGTAACCTCTCTGAAGTGACTAATGTTAAATATTGAGATAATCCTTTATCTTTATTGCAGTAATCTTTTTTTTTTAAACATTTTATTTATTTGACAGACAGAATACAAGTAGGCAGAGAGGCAGGCAGAGAGAGAGGGAGGGAAGCAGGCTCCCAACTGAGCAGAGAGCCCGATGTGGGGCTCGATCCCAGGACCCTGGGATCATGACCTGAGCTAAAGGCAGAGGCTTTAACCCACTGAGCCACCCAGGTGCCCCATATTGCAGTAATCTTTATGGAATGCCCAGAAAGGCCATCCTCACTCTTTTGATTCATTGCCACAAGTTTATTTCTTCAACCTTAACAATCAGAGCCTCCAAAACCCCAGCACATTTAAGAGCAGTGGAGACACTGCTTGTAAACATTGGAGGGTAGCATTTGTTTCTTCTTGTTGCAACAGTTTTATGTTAACATAATAGTGTTGTACGTTCACTGAAAAAAAAATTAGGCACTGAGATGAACAGAAAGGAAAACTAAAACTTTTCTAAACATGCCTAACTCTTTCTTCAGACCTAGGTGCTGTTAAGATCTTGGTGTATATGCTTCTAGGAAAAAAAAAAAAGGGTGTGTGTGTGTGTAATTTTTTATGAAGGTGCAATCATTTATTAATTTTATTAGATTAAACTTAATTGGAATAATAACCTTTGTATTGGTGGAACAATATATGATAAAAATTGTCATGTAATCTATAATATTTGTATTTTATATGTATAAAATTTGTATTTTATTTGTATTTTATTTGTATAAAATTTGTATTTTATATGTATAAATATGTAACCATAGCATGACTAAGTAATATTCCCTTATCATTGGACAATAAAGTTGTTTCTAATTTTTCACTAGAGTAAGTGACATTGTACTGAATACTCTGATGGTTAACTCTTTGTTCAAACCCTTAATTATTTCCTTAAGATGAATTCCCAGGAATACAACAGCTGGTTCAAGACAATGCATATTTTTAAGGCTTTTAGTATATATAACCAATTTGCTTTCTGTTAAAGTTCTAACAAGTTACTCTTTCATCAGTGTTTTTTTCCTTCTCTTCACCCCTACTCTAACCTTGTAGGTAAAAACATGATACATAATTATATTTTTATTGAACATTACTCTCAAATGATAAGAGGTATGTCATCTACAAGTGGCAAAGCTAGTGTTAACTATTTACCATAGTCTGAATCTTTTATTTATGTACTTATTTGACAGATAAAGAGAGCGTGTGAGAGGAGGGGCAGAGCAAGAGGGAAAAGGGGAGAGACAGATGCCTCCCTGAGCATGGAACATGATGTGGGGTTTGATCCTGGGACCCCAAGATTGCAACCTGATCCAAAATTAAGAGTCAGACACTTAACTGACTGAGCCACCCAGGAGCCACTGTAAATCTTTTCACATCTAATATATGTCTCAAAATAATTGATGAATATTTTTCCCAGTTCTGGGGAAACATAGCTAAATTGCCTTTATTATTTTCCAGGAATAAATAAACTAAAAAAATAAATTTGGTCATTGAGTCTTGATCTGCGGAGCTGGGTTTTATAAAAAGAGAAATCTTCCTAATCAAACTGAAATAGGAATAATAATCTGACTGTGAACTTCTTAAAAGTCAGCACTAATGTATACCTTGATAATTTCAGTAATGACAAAGGGAAAAAGTGTTAAGAAGTTCTAGTGCATTAGAAATAAGAAACAGGGCATGAAGGTCCTCATCCTGCTATGTTTGTATGAATTTTTTTTCAAGAGTTTATTTTTAAGTAGGATGCCTGGGTGGCTCAGTTGGTTGAGGAACTGCCTTCAGCTCAGGTCATGATCGTGGAGTCCTGGGATCGAGTCCCACATCAAGCTTCCTGCTCTGCAGGGAGTCTGGTTCTCCCTCTGACCCTCCCACTCTTATGCAGCTCTCATTCTCTCTCTCACTCAAATAAATAAAATCTTTTTAAAAAATAAGTTTATTTTTAAGTAATCCCTTTACCCAATGTGGGGCTCAAACTCATAACCCCGAGATCTAGAGCCTCATGCTCCCATGACCCAACCCACCAGGCTTTCCTGTTTGTGCACATTTTTAATAGATGCCACGGTTTGTGCCTCCAAATCACCATCACCTAACAAAGCAATTGTTCCGAACATGCTACTGTTGATGAGAACGCTTTGGGTACTGTGCCCGAAGCCTTGGTTTTAAAATTCATTTATGGTGAAATGCGTATATCCTTTCAGACTGGCTTCATTTTGGAAACAAACTAAAATCAATGCATGTACAGTCAAAGCTATTTCAATAGATGGCTTTAAAAACTATTCTGGAGTATCAAACTCATTAGAAATACATTTTAAAAAAAACCAATTTCGTCATTGTCCTCCTTTCTTTCTGTGACATGTCCATCTTGGCAGCTTCTCCCCTCCTTCTTTCCTTTCCTTCTTGCTTCTCTCATTACCTTCCACTTCTCTACCATCTTGTTTAACAAAGAGTCATCAAACGTCTGTCATGCGATGGGTCCACAGAAAAATAAAGCACCATGAAGCACCGCCTCTGTTCTGCCTTCACAGAACTCACAATCTCATAAAAGTAAGATCATTCATGCCTTGCAAACCGGGTGTGAGCTCCCCCAAAGCAGGGTGCGCATTTGTATCCTTGTCGTCCTGGAATCTACCACAGCGCTTTGTGCACCATAGGTGTTCAATCAGCCCTTTTGCGGGGGGTGGGGAGCTGATTAGTGATTCAAAATAGGAAATAAGTTCATTTCAAACTGGAAGATCACCAAGGAGAACATCATTTTGATTCCTTGGTCCGATCAGGTCAAATCATATGAAATTGCTAATGTTGGCATTTTTTAACCGAAGCCAATGACAATTTCATCCAGCTCAGTCCTAATTCCAGTTATTTCTCAGAGGACAGGGAGTCAAGGCAAGTGTCTTAGGGGCCAGCAAAGAAAAAGTAATGTGACTGATGGAATATTGTGCACACCAGGGGGCTGTGGAGTGTGGAAAGCTCACAAGTGTAACGCTCCTTCTGAAGGCATAGAAATGACAGCAATAAAATACTGTGGGACTAAACCAACTGTTTTCACGGTGTGGTAACTCTCAGGCTGTCATGTCTGATATCTTGCAGGAATAAATATCTTTTGGTCCGACCAGCGACTCTAGAGAGCATTTAAAACAAAACATGCCAATGTGATAAGGGTGACTAGTTTTGACTTGAACATTGATGCCCATGTATTGTGTCTAGTGCTTTCTGGAGGCTTATGTTGAGAAAAATTCTGAGCCACACTTATGACTGATTTTGGTATGTTTTATGGGTGCAGGACAGAGAAGTAGGGGGTACAAAAGCTACGTATTTGTTATTCTCAAGTGAGGATATTGTAATTAAGATCAAGTTATACTTCACTATATACCAAAGAACATGTGTCAAACTTGTATTTAATTCATTACTGAAAAAACTAGGAAAATGACAAAGCCAAAGAGGGCTATGAAACACTAAGGCATACATATGTGTGTGTCAGCACATTACCCAAATAAAAACCCCCAAACCTATAAAAATATTGCTAAATTATATATAAAGCTGATTAATGTTCTGTAGGTCAATTAAACATAAACTTTGGTTATCTTCTCTATCTTTATTATTTCATAGGAGTTGATTTTAACATAATGTTTTAGTTTAGATTAAAATCAGTAAAAAAAAAAAATAAGAGTTGAGTGAGTCAGTACTTGCAAGGACTATTTACAATTAATTTGGTCAAATAATTTAAGAAATCCCCCGTGAAGGAATTTACTTAACTTTGAATGAGAACAATGCAAGAGTTTGGAGGACAGCTCAGAATATGACTGCAGACTGCAGGTGAGTAGACACCTGGGAGCAATTTTTCAACTCCAAAGCTTGGCTTTGCTAGTAAAGGAGCCAATATGCAAGGCTTCTGATGCATCAAATGACTAGGCAGAGATATGCCAAACTCAAGAAAAGTCAATGAAACAGTAAGGATAAGACATAGCAGGCTTATAAGTCATGAGGGTCAGGAGTACATTTGCAAAGATGCAGATTTTTTTTGGCATAAGTTAACTTAAAAAATAATTCTGACTGGCTCTGGGACAGAAAGCACACTTTTAGAGGATTTTCCTTTGTTGCATATGACCTACAGCTGGATTACTGCTATTGACTTAAATGTGTCAGTCCTTTCTCCAACAACCTTGCACTGTTTTTGCAAAACTGCTTAAAATTTTTTTTCCTGGCCCATTGAGGAGCATAGAAAAATGAAAAACCTTGAGAGTTAGGATAGGAAACATTGCTTTTCTAAAAAAAAAAAAAAAAAAAAAAAAATTAGTAACAG